CTAAAATATTTTGTGAATGGCTAAAATCAAGATCGCTTTCAAGATGACAGAAGAGCAATTAATGTGATACTACATAATTCTCCACTCAAATATTAAAGCTACACCTCATCTTATTTGAAGATTCCTAGTTTTACATAATAATATTAGGAACTAGTAATTCATGGAGATGTGTTCTTTTATATATATAAATAAAGAGTCTTTGGATGCACAAAATATTTTACCTTAGAAAATTCATTTTAATTTCTCTTGATATCACATAAAAAAAATCCTTCTCTCTTCTTCAATAAAATTATTCTTTTTCCTATTATTTTTCTGAATAATAATTTTATACAAACTTCAGACTTCTAATCATTAAAAATTAATACACATATTTGGAATCAGAGCAAAATTACTTCTTAGACAGTAACTTGCCACGACACTATATTGTGACAATTTACTTACTATTTTCAATTTTAATTCTATATCAATATTTTGTTAGTTTCCCAAATAATGTCCATAAGAAATGATATAGGGTAGAGTGATTGCTTTAATAATTATGGTGACTTGTATTTCCATTTGATCAACCAAAACAAAAAAGGGGGGAACAACCCAACAGCTCGAGTATGTATATGCCTTCATATATAAACTGGTGGTTTATTAAAAACACATACTATATAAAAATACTAAAATCCAAAAATATTGAAAAGTTGATTTTGGTAAGAAATAATATTCATGTGTGCAAGGTGTACTCAATTTGCTGTTTACAGCAAGTTTCTCCAATGCATATCACACTTTGTGTTTGTTGGCAGGACTACAAAGACTTTGCTCAAATTATATTCTCAAAAAATTATTCTACTGTCAAAATACATTATTTTGCTACATAAAATTTTGTAGTAAATTTTTTATTTAGAACGAATATCAGTTATTTTAAAAATTAATTACAAATATTGGATGACGTATGATACTTGAATCTTTTTGTTTATTAACACTATGTTTGGAGGTTTGCTTATGTTTCATCATAATGTATCATATTATATTGTATTGTATGGTTCTAATGAATACAATGTTTGGATAATTCTCCGTCGTCACCACATATCCATAACTTGAATGATAAATCTACAAGAAAGTAGGATATGAGATAGAACAACTATGAAAAGGTTAATTAGGTAAGGTAAAGGATAAAATAGAATTGTTAAATAATAAGTAAAGACAAAATGAGAAGATAATATTAAGGTAATAACGCGATCACACCAAATCTATTGTTACATAAAATGGTTCTAACAGTGGATTTAAATGATACGAAACAATATAATTTCAGTAACAATCAAAACAAACATTGTATGGATCAAACTAACAATACAACACAATGGGTGTCAACCAATATCCAAACAAGGTGTAAAGCAAACCATTAAAACTATAGTCATTTAGGTGCCAATAAGAGTCGTGGATGAATATGATTCTTTCACTTTAGTTAAAAATTTCAGGTTCGAGTTTTAAACATGAAAAATGAAATCATATTAGAGAGAATGACGTAACTACGAATATCAAACAAAACCAAAAAAAAAAATGATAGAAGTTGTTAGGTGTCCTTCCTTGTCATTAGTCCTTGATTAACAAATCAATATTCCTTAATCACCTCTTTTATTTATAATCACCCCCATGTGCTTTGCCAACGTATTATCATCACCTCTATGGCCCTACTTATCAAATCATTAATCAAACATATATTCATCATTCAATTATTTTATTTGAATTATATTTGAATTAACCTTCCAATCAACCCCCATTCCTCATATATAAAACTCTATTTTTAGTCATTATATTTATCTATAAGTAGGTAAAAACACTATTCCTATCAATTATTGATGGATAATCCGACCTGTTTAATTTGTTGCATTTGTTTTAATTAAATTTTCCATTCAAGGAATAAAACCTATTTTTTTTCCTTTTGTCAATAAGTAAATAGGAGTTTGAACATGATTTGGTTGAAATTTAAAAATATATATATATTACTAATTGAAATTAAGCTGGGGAAAAATATTTAGAAGTTAAAATCGTGTTTAGCCATTAAAATATAGTTAAAATTTTATAGGTGAAACGTGAAAATACTTGAAAATCGTCTAGATCTTATTTTTAAATTTTAAATTGAAATAACCCCGACAAGACAATTGCTGACACCACAACAGACCCCATTTGGATTTAAAACATTTTGAAGAAGTTCAAAATAAAAACAGCCATTATTTAAAAAAAAAAAGAGAGAGAGAGAGAGAAGTTATATTTGAACAAAATGATTTTTCGAAGGAAACATAAGAGGTTTCATTAAAGCCGCCTCTATATATGTTGTCGAATAATAATTTCTCCAAATATAATTCTACAACACTTTGTTGTGTTTGACACAAAGAAAAATAGTTTTCATGAAAAATGGTTTTGTGAAAAATGAATAACTTATTATTATTTTTTGCTACTCTTACGAGAGTAGTTTTTTTCTTAGTATAATTGCTAGAGAGATAGACCGATACCATTCTGAACATGTTATACTAACTTTGTTTTTCAAATATTAGGTTCACCAATCTTTGTATTATATATTTTGGACCTATAATTTTTAAAATTTAACAATTCACATTAAGACCTAAAGATTAAATCGATTAAATTTACATCTTAAATGCATTTTTTCGTAATAGTGCGTCATCCTGAATACACCTCTGTAAAAAAGTATTCAAGTTAGTAAGAGAGCAAAGTTGGTAGAGTCAAACCAACACATAATTGCTCTGGCTCCATGGTACGTAAACGGCAAACTACTTATCCTAAAAACGTTATAGTTGAACTTGTATATGATCAAGTGAGAGCATGCGTCCTAGTCTAACTCTTTTTAGGTTTGTTTAGTAGCGATTTAAATATTACTCAATTATCAGTTAAAGCAAAATGAATATGACTAAATAGAGTGATGTAAAGAGTAGTGAATGTAAATCCATTATGTTAATGTGATTACAAGTGAGTCTAATAGCCTTTGCTCCAAGAGTATCCTTGTATGAATATGTTAGACAAGGTAAAAATAAACTTGATGCTCAAGAATATTGATGTATATTCCTACAAACAAGCTCTTGCAGTGACAGAGGCAGGCCTAAGGGTTGCAAGCCCATCCAATTCAATTACACAAAAAGAGAAACCTATGTCGATTATGAATCGAAAGTCGTCGTTCGTTAGACAAGGCCCACGTGCTGTGCATCTCTGGTGTTCTGCTCGTGTAAGTTCTCTGTTCCAAACATTTCCTGAAAGTAGACGACAAGTTTTAAATCTTAATGCAGGCAAGGCATATCTCGTTGAATCAGTCTTTTTCGCCACATCGCGTATAAGGGGAATCGAACCCCCTCTGCTGCTGGCCTAGCGCGCTTAATCAATCCGTTGCTTCTTTCCTAATCCCATCATCATTCAAACTACAAACCATATAATTAACCAACCAACCAACCAGAGTTGAGTACTCATTTAATTGGATGGCAGTAATGTAATTTGGGTAGAACAAGGAGGGCAGATTTGAAAAGAGGAGATTTGTTTTGACGGCGTGATTTTTGTAGAAACCAGCGAAGCCACGTGAGCAAGTTGGATTTAAGGTCCCACGCCACCTATGATTGACCCATTTGCTAGCTGTCAATTTCTTTTACCCATTTTGCCCTCAATATTCTTTTCTAATTCATCAAAATCACCTACTCCAATCATTATTTCTTCAAATTAGTCAAAACCAACCAATTCATAACTTGAAATGACAATAATACCCTTCAAGGAATCGTTTTGGTAGCTCGTTAGAGTTACGCCGATATTAGTAATGTATGAATTATTTTTATGGGTATTAGTTATGCAAATATTAGTTATTTCAGTTTTTTTATAGCATAAGATAATACATAGATTTTCTCGTAACTTATACATGTATTAATTATGTAGATTTTCAAACTGCAAACCAAACACGTATTAATTTTATGCATGAATAATTGACCTCCTAACTAGCTATCAAACATGATATTACTTGTGCATGATTCAATACTTACTTAACTGATCGCCTTCAAACTAGCTATGAAACGACCCTTTATTATATGTATCTCAATTGTTCATTAGGTTCATGTTATCTTCCATCAGAGCAATTATGACAACCAATGTTTAAGCAAATAAAAACTAAATACGTACTCAAGATGGTTTATCTCCGTTGAGAGTCGAATTTTAATATCTCATGGTTTTTATCTACTTATTGACTAGTAAATCACATTCATGTGAGACTTATTATCCAAGAAAAGAGATAGATAAATGATTATTTTTTTTGTCTTAGTTCAGTTCAGATTTTAAGAGTAAAAAAAATTCTTTGACTACGACTTCTAAACATCTTTAAATATTTTGAATTGATAATTATTATATGATTTATAGTACATTAGGTTGTTTTCAAATACGTAATTTTCATCTCTAACACAATAAAAATTCCGTGTTTAAATTTATGTTAAAAACTAAAACAAATGACTCTCAAAATTCATACCTTCACATAAATTAAGACGAATGAAGTATTTAAATTAATTATGTAAGGGTTAATTTGGTATTTAAATTAATTACTATTTTATTTTATTTTCTAAAAAATAAAAATAAACATGTGTGTTGTGCAAGTATCCAATGCTCAATTCTACATTCATCCCTGTTCACAGAAAAAGCCAGAGGTGAGAAAGCATGGTGGGGTAGGTCATTTTGGTGATAGACACAGGGATATACGAAGTGGTGGAGTCAGAATATTTTTTTTTAGGTTCAAAACATTAATAAGTAATTCAATAATATATAAAATCAATAATAAGTACTTTATTAGTTTAGTTATCCGTTTCGCATATTTACAAATCAATAATTCAATAATATATAAAATCGAATCGAACAGACCGATGCAATTTGGCTCCACAGCTGGATATATGTGTAAATAATGAGAAAGAGAAGGAGTATTTGTAGTTGAAAATAAGTCTTTGTTGGTATAAGGCCTTGCCAGGTCCTTATATTTGGAAGCACAGTTGGCTACAAATAGAAAAGTTATTTTATGAATTGTCCACTTATATATAACAACAGTTATCTGTTATTATTATTATTTGAGAGCAAATATATAATAGCAAACAAAGAAGAGAGAGATTTCAGTTTGCTTTCTTCATATTCATGTAAGTGAAACATACAATACTCAATTCTTTCTTGCTTTCTTACTACAAAAAGGTTATGATCAATTTCGTCGTTAAATTGTTCGTAGCTAAATAAATAAAAATTATATAGAATTAGCAACGAATTTTGTTGTTTAGCTATAAAATTTGTCATTCGTTAACTCTTACTTTTCAGTAGCTTTTTGATAATATATTGTTAATTCATCGCTGAATAGGATTAGCAACGGATTTTATTGTTAATTAGCTACAGATTTTTTTTTATCATTAATTCCTATTTTTCAGTAGTTTTTTTTGTATAATATGTTGCTAATCCATCGATAAATAAGATTAGCAACAAAATTTGAGAACAGTAGGATAGACTCGAGGTTAATTCTTTCTTTTAGGTGTTCTATCTATTGTTAATTCCTATTTTTTCAGTAGTTTTTTTTTTATATAATATACTGTTAATCCATCGTTAAATATGATCAGCAATAAAGTTTATTATTTAGCTACAAAAATTCATCTGTCGTTAATTCTTATTTTTCTCAGTAGTTTGTTGCTAATCCATCATTAAATAAGACTAGCAACATATTTTATTGTTTAGCTACATAATTTATCATCCATCTCTTCGTCTTACCTATTAATCTTTTATAGCAAGAATTTTTATCATGTTGTGTATTTAATTATTATTTTTCTTCCTACAAATTAAATATAGATATTTTGTGAGTATTTGATTTGAAAGAAATAAAGATGGGATACTGGAAAGCAAAGGTTCTTCCAAAGATCAAGCAGATCTTTGATAAAAATGGACCCAAGAAGACTGCTGCTGCTGAGGCATGCAAGACTTTTGATGAAGCTAAGGTAAAAAATAAATATATTTATCAAATATTTTAATTTGTTATAACAGATAATATGTCTTTATTTAATGTTTTTTTAAAGCCTGAATAAGTTTATAAGTCTCAAAAAAAAATATTCAAGAGAGCAAATAAAGGGTAAAATAGTAAATTATTTATTTTATTTATGATTTTTTAAGAGACATGTAAAGGGATAATTAATATGTGATGGAGGAGAATTATCTCATAAAATCATTTTTTTGTTAAAAAGAATTAGAATCAAGAAAAAATATAATATTTTTTACACAAATATCTTAGATTTTATATACTGATGATGATGTAAAAATCCTTTATATTATCACATCATTTAAATAACTTTATTTGATAGTATACTAATGATATATAAAAAAAATATTATATTATCAATACATATAACTTAATTCTATAAAAACAATTAATATGAATTATTGTCTGCTAAATTTCAGGAGGAGTATAGCAAGGAGTTTGAAGAGAAGAAGACTGAGCTTCAACCCAAAGTTATTGAAATTTATGAAGCTGCTGCAGTTGAGATCAAGGTTTATTTTTTTAATACACTTTATTTATTTATTTGTACTTTAATATTATGCAAAATTTAGCAGAATTATTAAATAGTATTCTTTTTGTTTCAAAATGAATGTCTAAATATATTTTTTATTAAATATTAATTCTTCTTAATATGCTATTTTAAAAAAAATATCTAATAAATTAGGGTAACTAAATTATACCATTACTAAAAAAAGTCCCGATTTTTCACTAGAAAATGTTAATAGTTATTTCCACAAAAATTTGAATTGAATCGTTGAGAAAAGATTAAATGGTGAGGATTTCATACACAAAAATTAGGAAGCTTCCCCTATTTTAGTGAGAATCTATTTCTCCTTATGCATCTTCTCAGTGAACTGGTTCGATGAAAAATGAGCTGAAGAAAATCATGTTGTACCGAAAAATCTTTGTTTCTAGTGGTGACCTTACATTTATTATTTTTTAATGGAGGTGAAATGAATTGAAGTGACACATAATAATTTTTAGAGGAATAAAGTATATACATTTCAAGTTGTGATAACAATAATCGAAATATAGATGTACGATAATAAATCTTACACATGTAGCAAAAAATGAGTGCACTGAACTAGGTCTTTTTTTTTTTATTATTATGATGATATACAGAGTTTAGTGAAGGAACGAAAGGGTGCAGGGCTGAAGAAAAACTCAGATGGGGTTCAGAAATTCCTTGATGAGCTTGTCAAGATTGGTAAGTAATTATTTTTTGTAAATTTAGAAATATATTTAAGGGATTGTGACTAAATTTTGGTGTATGTACTTGAAGAATTTCCGGGATCAAAAGCTGTTAGCGAAGCAAGTTCAAACTTTGGGCCTTCATATGTATCCGGCCCAATTCTGTTTGTGTTGGAAAAAGTTTCCACTTTTATAGTCGTCACAGAAGATAAGAAGGGAGAGGAACCCGCAGCTGCTGCTGATGACGTGCATGCAACAGCCACGTCGGTGAAGGAGAAGGAGATAGTTATTGAGGAGGCTGGAGAATCAAACAAGGATGAAGAACCTGCTGCTGACGTGACACCTACAGTCAAGGTGGAAGCACCTGCTGACGTGACACCTGCAACTAAGGTGGAAGAAGCACCCAAGGCGTGATGATCCAATGTACTAAAATTATGTGCCGAGTCCGGAGAAGGACCAAAGGCTTGATGAATATATATATATATATATATGTATACTTCAATTTGTCTCTGTGTCTAAAAATTGCTTTTTTATTTTTATTTACTGTGAGAAACTTGATTTATTATTCTTTTGTTAGTGTTCTCTCTTTCTTTGTACAATATTATCTCATGAACAATGTCTTGTGTACGTATTTTTATTCTCACATTTGATTCTTCAATACTACAGTAAGACGATGTATAAGTTGATTTGATTTCTCCCCTCCTTAGTACAAAAGAAATGATATTATGCTTAAGAGTATCTTCTATTTTCAGTACTTAATTAACGTGTCAAACTAATAGTGTAGTTGGTGGTAGCTATATATGCCTAATGATCATGAAAATTGATGATTTTAAATTTTCAATTTTCAATTAGTCATATATAGATAAATTAACCTTCAAGGTTAGAAGTTATAACTCTAGTTGAGCCTCATATTATAAGATTTTTCTCCTCTCCACTTCTAACACCGCCTTCCGTCCCATTGAAATTATTATCATTATGTGATGATAAAAGAGGAAGATTTAGCTTATCTAACTTTTCTTACACTACTTTTACATCGAATTGGTAACGGATAAATTTTTAAGTTAAATAAGATTAGCACGAGCGATTTAGCGATCAACTATTTTTGTTAGCATGTTCTCTATGAAATAAAACTAAGACCACATTGTAGTCTAACTAATTAATGACGTGGCTAATTTCTCTACAACATAAAATATCATTTTTCTTTGATAATAAGATCAATTTTAGAGAGAAAAAATAATCTATTGCGTGTACATATTATGGTTGATGTAATGGTATCCAAAATGAATCGAAAAACTGAATTAATTCAATTTGATATAATATTTCGATTCTTCTATGTTTATCCTCGCCTTATTTTTATTTTATTATTATATAAGTATAAGAGAAATGGTAAACATTTTTAAATAAAAGGTTGATGACACGTAGCAACTGTTTGAGGGGGACTTTTATTAATCTAATATGATTTTGTATCGTCAGTCTAAACTCTAACCATTAACCATAATTTTCATATTAATTTCAGATCAATAATTAATTATCAACATCAAGGATATGGTGGCTTATATTGAAATATAAAATACAAATAATAATAAAATAAAAATAATATAATGTAAATTATTGAGAAAGGAAAGAAGGGATACATCCGAAAATTAAATATTGACAGCTAATACAACTCATCAATTCTGATAGCAACCAAATTCGATTGCCCACACGCAAGAAACTATAAAGTTGGACCAATTATGTATAATATAATAGTATTTGAAATTGATGTATCAAGAAGACGCTTGATTAAAGCAACTAGGCATTAATTTATCAATCATAAAAAACAAGTTATTCATACATTAATTCTTGTATCATTTATACGACGAGTTTAGGAGATACATAGGAAATAAGTTATTCATGTATAAAATTAATATGACATTTGGTTGATAATTTAGAAATCCACATAACTCATGCATAAATAAGTTATGAGGGAATCTATGTATAACTAATACCTAATACTTCATAACTCTAACCAGTTATTATCAATTTGTTGATAAGAAACAATCCATCTACCTCCACGAGATAGCGATAAAGTCTAGGTATACTCTATTAGGATTCAGCAAGCATACTTGTTCACTTTGACCAAAACAATAAATAAACTAAAAATAAGAAAAGACGTGTGGATGGCCTTGCAATCATTTTTCCATAGAGGTGAATTTTTTATTGGCTCCTTCATGCAATTTTAGTCTAGAATATATAATTTTCTTGCTTTTCATTATTTCCCCTCTCTCGAGCATCACCACCACACATATTTAACGAGATTAGAAATTCTCAAAGTTTCGATAGATAGAGTTATCCAGTATTTATACTGATCAAGGTGATAGGACAGCACTTGGGAAAAAATATTGAATTACATAATCGACAGGACACCAAACCACGTAATTTTACACGTCTAGATAACAAACTTTCCTCTCATCACATCATTATTATTAGGTTAAAAGCCTCAGTTTTAGTTAACATTATGGATTCTAACATATTCCTACATCAACCATTTCCATCCTTCCTCAATCCCCTCAGCAAGGAAGAGGCTAAAAACAGGAAATCTAATCAAAGAAATGGGAAGACGACAAATATAGAAACTAACAGATCCATTCCTTAGGGTTGATACAAGCATCCAAGAGTTTCCATTCTTCAGACCCCTCTACTGGTTTCTGCATAATAGAATATACAATCATTTAGTTGATGGTTTTTTTTCTTAAGAAGAATATCAGCAGAATGGACTACCAAAGCAGAGAAAAAACTTACATGGTCGTACTCCCAACGTGCACTTAATGGAAGAGAAACAAGAATACTCTCAATCCTACCTCCTGTCTTGAGACCAAATGTAGTTCCACGGTCATAAACCTTCAATTACAAAGCAAAAAAGAACCAAGTCAAAACAGTTGTTTCTTATTTCATTTTATTTTTGGGAAATAAAAGCTTAGGGAACAGAGTAATCCACCAAGTTGAATTCCACATAGCGCCCCCTCCGTAATTGTTGCCATGCCTTGTGTTCATCGGTGAATGGGGTATCCTTCCTCTTCTCTATGATAGGTATATATGCTGGAATGACGGAGTTGGCACACTCTGCACTCAACAGCTCATACATTACGAGAGGGTATTTTTATCCATTCCAACAATTGAAAAGTTTACTGTGCAAACAGTTTGATGTTTCTAATTATTCAGAAAAAGGAATGGAGTTCATCTAGTCTCCAGCTATTTAAGGTTCAAAGTAAATTTTTCTACTTTGGAAAAAGACCAGTCAACTAATGGAGAACTGAAAGTGTGGACATCAGATCATTTCAGCAGCTCTTAATATCTTCGGAGCAAAATGAATTTCCCATCTAGGATATGCATCTAAAAGATGACAGATGCGTGAACATCATATAATCCCTGCTACAAACAAGCTTTCCAGACAAAGATAGGAGTGATTCTAAATCATGTGGTCTTTTCACACCATTTACCTGTAGAAAAGGAGAGAAGCATCTCCTGATCATAGTCGTTTAAATCGTCAAAAAAAATTCCTCCAAGACCCCGCCTCTCATCACGGTGCTGCAAAACAATGAGCTCAGTCAAAACATGATTGTGACATTAATTTAATTGGACAATAAATGTAATAGGCAACCATGTAAGAGTAATCCCATTAAAAGCTTCTGGTACTTTGTCACCACTTAGTAACCAGAATGCAGCATTACGATTCTTCACAAGGACTGTAGTCCTCACCAGAAATTCCAGATATGGAATGTGAAATAGGCAAGACTGAATACTGATTGTTTCTACGATATTGCTTCCACTCATGTTACAATAGATATAAAAGAATGCATAACTACATCCAAGAAAAGGATCAAAAGCTCCTAGAAAACAGAAAAATTCAACGCAGTCATGGATCAAACTCAAACAAGTTAACCTAGGAAAAAGATGATGACACAAAGTAAGGTCTGCTATTACCTAAACAGTTTCATTAAAGGATCAATTTTCTTAGAAATCTCTAAGGTTTGTAAAGGTTTTCCTGAAACCCTCTGAATGTCTGGTTTATCTTTAGGAAGATAGCAGCTTTCAGCAAAGGGGGGCAATTCACATGTGAGAATCGTACTAGGTACTTAAGCAAGACTGCAAATAATTTAGATATTTGATCCGCACAGCATGCCTCACAGGAAACCAAAGCTTGACTTACAATTTCAGGAATTAAATATAGAGAAATAATAACTGATCAGAGGCAAACACAAAAAGCAAAGAGCACTAAGGTACACCTTAATGAGGGGAGATGCTGGGAGGATTTTGTGTAACTTGACACTATTGTCCTTAGTGTCTGGTTTGATTTTTGGTTTATTCTAAAGTAAATAGTTTTTGAAAACAATTTTAGACATTGTGTTGGATTTTCTTTTCTTTTTTTTTTTGGAAAAAGTAGTTGTTTTCTGTTTTGGTTCTTCAAGGAACTTTTTGGGTTCTGTTTCAAAACAAAGTTTAGTTATCAAATGAAACATGATTGATTTCAGCTTTAAAGATTATTTCTATAATTTTTCCAATCCAAATGCCACAACTTAATACTTTTACGTGTTAGACACAAAACAAAGACTCTGATGGGTTGGAATTGTTAAACTGTTTAAAATTCGCTAATGATGGTTCAATTACAACATTTCCATGTTCAGTGGGTAAATCTCCACTCCAGATTCTTTAACAGTCTCTAGCACAATTACCCTATTATTCCAGTTTCTGACAGATTATGGGAATAGAAATTTCGTATGGAAAACAACTTCTATCTGCTAGTAAATGAAACTCTAATACCTTTATATAGAAGTAATCATCACACCACTTCTTGAAACGAGGGTAGAAACTAGCATCAAATTTGTCACAAGCACCTTTTTGCACCTGCAACACAGACAGACGGTAGCAATCAACTTTTAAACATCCAAGAGAAAAGTCTGTGATAGAATATGAAGATCTTTCATTCTAGCCAAGCATAGTGATGATGTTGGATTGTGGTTCTCAAAGAGCAGTAACTACTTTGCAGGGAGTAAGTATGTGGAAACACCAGAACAGGTAGGGAAGACTCCACAAAAGAGATACGGATTCTTAGTCAGAGATGGCAGAAGAAATAAGCTCAGGTCAGATTGTAGGGCTGGACATACCCCAATGAAGGAAGCACTTCCGGACTTTAGATTTGTTGCCAACCAGGAAAGACCTGGGACTTTTCTGTCATTTTTGAGTGAATAAAGCAGCTTGTAAAAAATCTCTCAATGCTTTTCTCCATGGTAAATTTTCTAAATTAGACATTAGAAATTTTGAACTAATGAAACAAAGATCAAAAAAGATGTAATTTTTTTGCATGCTTATACCGAATGGAAGTGCTTCACATCCTCCTCGAAAATGTAAGCAGGTGTCAGATCAGTGCCACCTCCAAACCACCATTGCCTAGGTGCTCCTGGAGTATCTGCATTAAAAATTAATCACAAGTAACAGATAATTAATATAGTTCAACTTAAATTAATCAAAATGCAGATATCACAGACATGGACTTACCAAAGGTATACTTTGGCAATCCTAGCTAACGACTTTAATACTGCTAGTCTCATTTCTGATGCAGACCCATATTATGCATTAATAAACATAACCAGTGAACAGATTCATAAAATGCAAGAAACACACAAGACAATTGGGGCAAGAACACAAAATTCC